CCAGCTACTGTATCAGCAGTCTAAAAATATACATGTGCAATGAGTTGTCGCAAAGTATACAAACGTGTGTGCTTTCCACACATACATCCAGGGCTCTGTTCCCTTTTTTTCAAGTACTTTCCAGTTACAATTTACGTCACAATATGCACAACAAAAAACTCACACGTGTCGTCATATCAACATAGCGTCGTATTGCAACCCCTCCCAGGATACTTTTTCATTGTAAAGTACAATATAAGGGTTAACGAGATCATCACTAACCCGAACACCCGCTACCCGTGAAATTTAGATCAGGTTGACTGCCGGAAGCAGATATGCTACCAACGTAGCATCGTATTGTAACCGGATACTTTTTCATTGTAAAGTACAATATAAAGGTTAAGTAGCTAGCCCCACTCCACCCCACCCGTGACATTTAGATCAGATTGATTGCCGGAAGCAGAGATGCCCAGAAAGAACATTGCCTGGTGTCGTTGGACTAATAGACGGGCTGAAGAACTGTGACAGTGTCCCACGTCCAAGCTGTACACATAAATAGCTACATATGAAGAATCTTCTCGACAAGTGCAGTAAAAATAAATTGACCTAAATTTTTATAGAAATGTTTAATTGCCACACATTAACTTTTTTGTGATTACTGAATGTAACTTTACGAACCTATTGAGTGTATATACGCATATTTAAAAGCATTGCAAAACCTAATACACATAACTAACAAACAAACAGACAAAAACCAAATACATTATATCAGCAGATTATAATTTGTGATCAATTTTCATATTTGTAGACTATATATACGCGTTGATAGAGGAATTTATTACTCTTATTTATTTTAATTTATTATTAAAATTAATTCATTACATCTAAAATTTAAAAACATAAGAGGTAGTCACTAAACCATGTACTTTCACACTCAAGCAAGAGAATAGACATGTTGGTGAACTAGCCTTGCACTGTGAGTGCTGTTTGCACTCTGTAAAATACCAGATTTTTCACAAATAATAAAAAAAGAACTGCAGACCTCACTTCTTTATATTTTTGAGTGGGCCAGCCAAGTTTCCACATACATAAATACACATAATATTTCTATTTAGTTTATTTTATTTTATAATATTGTCACTGAATTCTTTAAAATAAATTTACCATTTACAAATTAATGTGTTGGACACTGTATAATCTTAATAGTTTACAATCCATTTCCTTATATTTGAATCTGTTTCAAGACATTTGAAAAAAATATTTAGAAGCATAACAATACAACGACTAGACTTGGTGTCACAGTTTGCTCCCAATTCATACTGGAATATTGCCAGCAATAATTGATAAAGCTTGTTCAGAATACCATTTATTCCCGACATCATATTCAATGGCTCAGGATCTACAACAGTAAATAAATAAACAGAAATCATGTTGATGCCATGTTTTTAGACGACACCGCCATATCGCAAAGATATTCAACACCGCCATATCGATTTTGGATTTGGACCATACCATTTCAATCTGCAGGGTGTCTAAACAATGACTCAACAAACAAAAAAAACACATCTTCCACCCACCACACAAATTTTAGCCATAATTGAACAACCAAGAAAGCAACAAATATTAGACTGCATCCTGAAAACAACGAGATACCACATTACAACCAGTCATTACAAACATGAAATCCTCCACCACTCACAGTACACCCTACAGCAACAAATGGTTCCTATATTAATTTGCATTTATGTACAACAAGCTTAGCCAATAGATGCACCTGACTCATCAAACTTTTGTCCAACCACTCATTCTAAATATTGTTGAGTGAGGGCGCTATTTACTAATGAGAGGAATCTTTAAAAAAAATAAACATGTATATATTTGTTCCTATTGTTATAGCATCAAGATATATGCCCTTGAAATACCATTGTAACTGGGTACATGTTTTGCCCAACATATACCAATATTACTGTACAGGTCAAGTTAATTCATTGAAAAATGACGTCGCGTGTTTGTTGCATTGTACCTATCAGGTAAAACACTTTAGGTGTATGTCGCTGGCAGTGCACAGTGGACAATCTGGTACTAGTTACCAGACATAATTGCTCACCAATTTCTGACCACTAAAAAGCAACATACTTTACAATTTAAGTTTAGTAAATCAGTCACTTAACCACGTTCCAGAGATTTTTTGTGAGTTCGAATCTTGTGTATAATGTTCATACGTACGTACATGTGTCTGATATTCTGATTGTTACGATGCCCTAATTTTGTTGATTAGCCGTTGTACAAAGGGTGATGTACGGTGGATAGCCTATTGTGCAAACATACGACAAATTCACTATATCAGATAGTGCAAAATTAACAACAATTGTATCAGTGGTTACAATAACATACTCAATGAAAATCAACTTACGTTTAACGTGCACGTTTTGCCAATTTGGTTGAGACAATGAGAGTTGTCAGAGTAACGGGTTAGCCATTTAGACATCAAAATACCTGCCTGCAAAATGCCATAATCAATATTTTTGGACCGTCGAAATATGCGCATGCGTTAAAATGCATTTATAATATATACATATCTTAACCCACGATAATTATTTTAGCTCGACGTCAGCAGACACGAACGATTGCCGCCATAGTTGTGTCTAAATTACTCTCATTTAAAGGGACATTTAACAGAGTCGCAAAAACAAGGGGCCAGGATTGCCAGAAAAGGGAAAGATAAAACATTACTTGAAAACTATAGACCAATCTCCCTCATCAATACTAATATTAAGGATATTGGAAGGATATTGGATATTGCAATATGGGAAGGGAAAAGCTATCATAATTTTATTATTTAAAAAATATGTATACACCTGCAGGGCTCATGTAAAGTTGGATCAGAGAAAATTAAAACATTGAACTACAATATAAAACTAAATAATAACATTGTTTAAATACAAAAAAAGTAACCAAACTTATAACGATAGTGGCCTGTAACAGCGGACTGGTGGTTTTGTACCGAGCCGAGCACGTCGCCTGACGAATACCAAGTAAGTTGCAATCACTCGAGCCATTTAGGCAGTATTTCAACGTTGGTCATAAATGTCGGAGCACGGTCAGTGTGGTCATGTGGATGAAGCCAAATTTCAACCAATTATATGTATATTAGGGCACAGTCCATCAACAAAGATAGGGACTGTGATTAGGGTCAGGGTCACTGTATAAACTATGTCACTATATACATTCATGTGGTCGATTTAACTGTTTGCCTGGGTAACCAATTTACACTGGGTCGCTGGATCAGTATTTTCAATTGATAATATGCACAACAAAAAACTCACACGCGTCGTTATATTAACATGTCGTCGTATTTCCACCGCTCTCAGGATATAAGGGTTAACTAGCTAACCCCACTCACATTATTAACCCCAACACCCCCACCCGTGACAATTAGATCAAGTTAACTGCCTCGTC